ATCTTCAAAAAGGAAGAGAACCGGCTAAGGAACAAACAATGGCTAGACCAACCAGGACTACGACAGGGCAAGGATCTATTGGGCAGCTACAACCAAAAAAAGATCGGAACTGCTGGTCAACCTTAGCAAGAAAAGTCTCAAAACTCTAACCGGGTTTCTCTCGGGACATTGCAGACTGAATAAGCACCTACATAATTTGGGGTTGGAAGAAGGTAACACTTGCAGATTCTGTGAAGACGGTGAAGAAACACCTCACCATCTTCTACTGAACTGCGATGCCGTAAGCCGCTCAAGAATGAAGAACTTGGGAAGTCCCCTTATACAGCTGGAAGACATTCCAGCCCTGGAACCGCTAGACATCCTAAAATTCCTAAAGGACCTAGGACTACAGGGGCTGCTTTAAGCAGGAAACCCGAACTTAGTAGCAGAAGGAGGGGTACAATAGATCAACCTTGGTCGCAGTGCAACTGACACCTCCAACACACACACATACATACATACATACGTTAATTTTACGTTACGTTATTTTTAATTGTTAATGTTATTTACGTAACCCAACGATCATTTTTCCATTTTTATTTCGTGAGAAATTGCTCACTATCAAAGCATAAGGATAACTGAGTAAATTTTTATAAAATTCCTTTTCAATTTTTTAATTTATCATTGTTGTATTAACACAGTTTTACTACTTTACAATTACACTGTTCACTATGTAATAATCCATGATTTTAGACTCGTGAATATCCTGTTTTTAGTGCCCTGAGGATGGCCAGGCCAAAACGTCGGCAAATACACACTATCTTCTTCAACGCCGTTTATTTTTGACCTAGATCTAACCTTTTTTCAAAAAAAACAACCTGAAGATCTACTGAGGTCACTAACTATAACAAATTTCATTTTGCATTAAAATTGATTGTTCAATCCAATTTGTTATTTAGTGTGTGTGTAAGGAGCGTTCACAGGTTAGTGGATTAAATGTTATTTTGTTTTTGAGACTTCAATTTATGCAAGTTCCTATTATTTTGTTCATTTTTATGTATTTTTTTTTTGTTTATAACATTTTTTATAACATGTGCATTGTTCATGTATTTAGCAAAAATCGTTTCATGCTGTAAACAACACCGATAAAGAAGTAAATTAAAACCTAAGAAATTTTGTGCTGTCTTTTTGTGCTAAGATTTCGATTTTGCGGATTTAGAGAGTGTATTAGGGACTTGTTGAATTTACTAACATTTTCCTACCCTGACGAGAGAATATCCTAACAAATTGGAATAATCAATCTAGAGATATTGTCTCAAAAACAACTATAGCTGAGTAGCTTCCCGTATGGGACCTCAGTACCTGCTGGAAAACTGGCTAATTAACAAAAACTCTTCAGTATTGATTATAGGTAGTGTTGATTGAATGTAGTGTGTGTAATTGAAATTTTAGTACAAGAACAGGGGTGGTACCTGATTTGAACTTTTATTGACTCAAACTATTGAATTAATGACTCACAATTTTTTGAAATGACACAGTATGTTTCGATTTTTGAGGAATGTTAGATCGAGGGTTTCTCTGCCGGGCTCTTTCCCCTCGTTAGTTCCAGGATGAGAACGGTACTTTAATAATAAAGTAGACGTTTCACAAATTTTTCGTTTCTTTTACATATCACAACTTCCCTTAAATTTCCCAAATATATGCTATGTCGGGCGCATGTCCAGTAAGAAAAATTGAGTAAGTTTCCACAACCTAGGTCCTATTTGTTTTTCATTTAATTTTTCAGAAGAATTGTTGTTTAAAAAGTAATGAAAATTCTCATCGTTCAATCTTACTGAACGAACCCGGGTATGTTATACTACGGTACGATACAAAAAGCGCTAAAAGAGTTCTACTGAATCTCTCCAGGTTTAGTGCTTCAAAAAAAAAACAGGAAAACCTTTAATTTAAGTATGTAACGTCTAAAGATGGCTTATTGTCCATCTTATGAAATTTTAACTATATAAACTCATGTAACATCTACTTCTAAATATACCTAAACATTGCATCTGGATTTGTGTTTAGGTGCGAACAAACAAATTTATTAGGTCGGAGAACTGTCACTTTCAACCTGCTTTGAAGTAAACAAAAGTAAGGTGACATTTTCGAACCTTCAAACCAGTAGAAATGTGAAAATTACATATGGTTTAAAATAAATAATATTAGAATGGAGTTTCAATTGTTGTTTTTTGGTATTCTATATATTTTCGAATAATGGTGAATAGTAAGGAAACGGATAGGAAAGCAAATTATTTTCTTAGCTGTGTGCCGTTCAGTACATTGAAGTGATACAATCGAGCTTCAAATTTCTCTAAAACATTTTTAAATGTCTCACGTAATAACCGATGAAATTTTGCGGCGATTCGCTATCTTAAATCCACCTCTGGCTGGTTTTCAATAAGCCATTGTTTCCAGTTATACTCGAGGAACGAAATCCAATTGCCTGAAATCGGGTAATCGATCCGGCCATCCAATTATTTTACCTCCCCTTCGATCGAAAAAGTCGATGCCGCATCTCACACTGGACGAGCGTAGTGAGGAGGTGCATCATTTTGTTGCCAAAGACTTCAATTTCAACTTTTTCGTTCTTTATGGGTTTTATATTGCCAACTGATCCGGTTTCGGAAACTTTTCGCCCTAATTGTAACGCACTTTTAGGGTCTTTTTTCGAACGTCCCTATTTTTTGTTGGAAAATGATGTAAATGTAAGTTTCTGTCTCCATAGAGATCTTTCTGGGAGTCATAGTCTCATACAAAACAATTTGTATTTTTCTCATGTGATAATAATCATATTTATATGGCAGACATCCTAAAACATCGAAGTGCATATTTGTAACAAATTACACACAAAATAGTAACAAACAGTGTAACCCCTTTTGTTAATGAATTAACAAGAGGCCCATAATATGCTCGGTTTGCTCAGCGAATAATTATTAGGGGTGGGTTGATAGTTTAATAAGTACAGAATGACAAGTGCATCACTGAATTTTGAAAAAATAATAATTAAATTACATAAAATATGGAAGGGTGAAACTTCAGAAACACACCTAAAAAAAAATAATCTGCAGACGATAATTGATAACTCTGAAAAGGAAATAAATAAGTCACATAACTCAACCAAATCCTGACATAGGTAAACCAATAAAACAATTAAGCAATTTTCAAATTAAATAAGCGTATATTTCTCAGTGACGTCAAAAATCAAGTGTTGATTCATTTCAAAACATAAAATCAATTGCTGGTAAAACACTTTAACTAAAATCAATAAATAGAGGTTAACTCTCTATATGTTTCATCAAAACAAGATAATATTACAATGTACCTGAATATACTTGCCATATAAATTCATTAACAGTTGCTGCCAGAAAATAAAATCAACTTGTACCTGTATGAAATCCAAAGTTGGGTTAAATAATAGTAAAATGGTCAGGGGATATGATACAAATCCTCAAATATATAAGTTATAGGACCCAGGATTAAAAATTGATCAATTCTCGAAGATGTAGGTTCTTACTCAATAATTTTAAATTTAGAGCATGTTGTCCAACCTTGACTTCTGTTTAGATTACTAATTGATTATTATTGATAAAATATAAGTAGAGGAAAGGCGCCTAATATTAGGACCTAATATTGGATACCTACCTATTTTAAAAATGTGCTTCCATCTATCAACTATAAGCTGCATTACACCTTAAAACCCCACCAATGAGTTTGCAGGGTTGTTTAATAGACTATGTTGACATAGACGACATTTTATTGAAATGAGTGTATATGAAAATTATTTGCTCCCTATTTTCAGTGCTGAATTTTCAATTGAAAGGTAAATATTTCAAATATTTCTAAATAGGATGGCTAGTGCATGTTATAGAGTAAATTTTACTATCAATAAAATCTTATTTTTTTTTGTCAAAAATAATTATAACCTAAAAAATGTATGATGTGCCTAATATTGGATAGCTACAGGTTCCCAAAATTGGATATCCAATATTAGGCAATACTTTGAGGTCAACTGGAATCTGCAATAATATATCTATTATTTGCAGAAATGGCTACTAAAAGAAAGCAATGGGATAAAATAAATATGAGCAGTGCTATTCAAGCAGTAATAAATCACGAGATGGGATATTTGAAAGCTGCCAAATCGTACAATGTTCCGAAATCTACCTTGGAGTATTACTGTGAATTGGAAAATCCCCTAGAACATTTAGAAAAATCGACTCTTGGTCGTAAGCCAGTGCTACCTGAAAGATTAGAAAAAGAGTTGGCGATACACTGTCTGGAATTAGAGAGCTTAGGAATTTTTTTGAGGCGAAACAAAAATATTTCTTTTAGAACTCCTCAAGGTGTATCCGCAGCTAGAATCAAAGGATTTACTAAAGAAAATCTGATTAAATTCTATGACATTTTGGAACCACAATTAGATAAAGTTAAATTCAATCCAAGTAAAATCTATAATGTTGACGAAACGGGAATAACTGCAGTCCAACACAAGCACACTAAAGTTATCAGCCTAAAAGGAAAGAAACAAGTAGGATCATTGACAACATCAGAACGAGGTGCGCTGGTCACTGTTGTTTTCTGCATGAATGCTAATGGACATTTTATACCCGCAATGATGATTTTCCCGAGGAAAAATTTTAAAGGAGACCTCAAGGATGGAGCGCCTCCAGGGTCAATTGGAAAATGTCATCCTTCTGGCTGGATTCAGTCATATTTATTTACTCAATGGATGGATCATTTTATCACGCATGCCAAGCCATCCCGCAAAGATCCTGTTATTTTAATAATGGATGGACACTACACACACACACGAAATTTGGATGTCATTAACAAGGCTCGGGAAAATCACATAATGTTGATATGCCTATCTCCACATTCGACCCACAAGATTCAACCATTGGATGTGGCTTTCATGGGACCTTTGAACGAGAAATTGAAAACTGGTTAAAAGCTAACCCAGGTTTCACCCTACCAAATTGCAGGTTTGTTAGGAAAAGCATATTCAAGAGCTGCATCGATGGAAATTTCCAAAGTCCAAAAGCAACAAAAAAGTTTAAGAAGAATTTAAACTTTCAACCGAAATCATCTGAAAAAATTAAGAAAAATTACACTTCTCAAAAGAAAAAGCAAAAAGTTGTTGTTTCCTCGGATTCCTCGGAATCAGAAGAGGAAGTCCAATATGCTGATTCGGAAGATGATATGGATCCAGAAGAAGAAGATGTGGATTGCTCCTTCTGCTTGGAGTCATTTTCTTCAGATAAAGGAGGAGAAAAATGGGTGAAGTGTTGTAAGTGTTACAAATGGTGCCATGAAGCATGTGCTGGTGCTGAAGACAAAAAAAAATATATCTGTGACTTTTGTATGGATGGATGATTTGTTCTTTTCAAGCTGTAAAGTGAAATTTTTTATTTGTTCTATATTCTTCTCAATAAAGTTTCGAAATTATCAATAGCCTTTGATTAAAAAAAATGGTTTCCTAATATTGGATACCCTATCCAATATTAGGCTACTATTTTCTAAATTGGCAAAATCAGCATTTTTTAAAAAATATTTAATTACTCCCTTAAATATTTTTTAAATTCTTTTGTCGACCATATTAACTGATAATATATAGTTATGCTGTAACTCCATCAAACTAGCACAAATATAGGGATGTTTTTTTGATATAATTTTACAGTTTAAAAAAAAGTATCCAATATTAGGCGACTTTCCTCTACAATATTTAAATATTGCGGTATAAAAGTTAGCAAAGATGATCTCATAATAAATTCTATAAATTAGAAATCAGAAATAGTTAGTTAAAGTTCATTTCGGTGTCAAGAAAATAATCAATGACATTGAAATTTTAAATATTTTAAATGTAATATCAGTAAAAATTCAATCAACTATGGTGGTAATTGATCATAAAATATATTTCATAAAGAAAGGTAATAAAAGTTATAATTGAAACTTTATACAAGCCTCAATTTCAGCATTAAGGTAGACTACGGTAATCATCCATTTTTGGTCACTGGACAAGAGAAGTTGCACATTAAAGTTACAGATTCTAGCCTCGAATCAAGACTAGAAGTTCAGTTTTTTTCGTCGAATGTAGAGGTACAGGTATCGACACGTGAGGGACTCGAGAGCTCTATGCTCACGCTGCACGAAAACGGTGATCTTTAAGGCTTGTTGCAAATAGATTTCTTGAGAAAAACAGCTCCTCGAAGAAAAAAACGGCTCCCCGGAAAAAAAGACTCCCCGGTAAAACCCTAAGTAATAGAGACATACTTAAAAAAAAAGAACTTACCATGAGGGGGTTCGAAATTCAAACCCAAATGAAACGGTAGTCACGAGAACGGTTATCGATATTTATATTTCACTTAGGAAGATGACCATTCACCAAACTGTCAACATTAAAGGTAATAATTTAGCTTATAAAATTTATATGTAAAAAAGAGAAATAGTAACATTTAGCATGTTACAACAGTTAATCAATGATCGATTATTCACTAAGTTGTTTTCTTCCGCCAGGGAGCACGCAAATATTTTGTACAGACACGATTCTTGTTCAGACATCCAAAATATGGTAAATCTAATGTCTCTATTGAGACAAGGTTGAAATGAAATTGCGATTTTTTTTCTTCCCATTTCCTGATAATACACATGATGGAATTCACGGATAAGGTACATTTTTCGTATTTTCTGGAGCTCAAGAACAAATATTTGTGTTGAATTATTAATGATGGCACTTCGCTTGCTGGATAAACGTGATAAGAAATTTTTCTTTTTGTGTACATCTTTGTTTTTGGTGAAAAAAAAAGCCTCTGGAAGCAGATAAAATATATATATATTTTTTGAAAGCAGTTAGAAATGCTATTTCGCTGTTTCTGTGTTACAGTTGAAACAGTATGGGGTCGTTTTGTCTATGAAGCACTACCCTCCAGTCATCTGAATTTACTCACCACAACATTATACTGTAATTTATCCCCCACATAACGTCTCTCATAAAACTGTCGTCTTCCTAATATAATCCCATTCTCGGTTTCCTCCCATCGTTCGCTCTGACGCAGCTTTATTTTTATCATGCGGCTCTGTATGGGGATAAAACATTCCCCTTTCAATGGGGCTGAAATATTTTGCTGCGAAACGAATGTTTGCATAGCATCTGTCATAAAAAATCGTTTTCGGAAACCATTTTCGAGCGACCTTGAGGGACGAATTTAATTTGTCATGAACATTTCATTTTTGTACCTACTGGGATTCTTACTGAACCTGTATTCCCTCAAAAGACCTGCAAACACTTAATTTTGATCATCGCTCGTATATATTTCAATAAATACTTCTTACTTTCTGCTAAGCTCTCAAACTTTGGGGCTCTAATCATATTTTATGTCGGCAACGAGAAGTTATCAGATGAAAAGTTATAATCATGATTGAATTGAAACTTTATTTTCAACTGTGATTTATCGATTACGTTCTGAACTACTTTGAGAAGCAGTTCCACGCAAAAAAGATTGCTATGACTCAAATAATGTTCGCTTTTAAAAATGTATTTAATTATTTAGTTAAAAAACTTTTCATATAACGTATTTCAATTTTTATGTTTCCCTCAAAAATACGATAAACAAAAAGCGATAACTGCAAATATTTTAAACGCGATAGAAATTCATATCGTGCCCCTAAGGCTATCGATTTAGCAATTTGCTCCCCAAAACTGAGATTAAAAGACGGTTCAATCATCCTTCGTAAACAATGCAGATCATTTTATGATATCAGCCTATAAATTCATTTAAAGGGTACTTGTGTGTAGTCAGTTTCAGGTTTTTGAAAAAACTACCTACTCAATCCGGTGGACCTACCTATGACTGGATTTTGTATGAATTAGAATTGGAAGCAACAAGCTATATTCGATAAATACCAAATATAATAGAGTATACCTCTTCTTAGAATTATTAAAATTAATTTGATAATTAAAATTCTATTGACGATCAAAATATCCAATTTCATTTTACACCCTATCGATTTTCGTTGGTGTGTTTTTATGATCGTCTCTCTTCAGTTTCAAAGGATGCTATCAGTTTGCTTGTTATCGAGAGCTTATTATTCTACTCCCATTATTAGCAACTTCAATTAGAATATTGTTTCACCTTTATATTAATTAAACAATAATCTAATAAAAATAACAATATTATAGGATGCTGTTGCAAAATATTACATGTATTGTATTCACTGAAAATTTCAATAGATAGTCAATGAACGGTTATTCAAATCTCCAGATACTGAACCAAACAGTTTAGTAAGAGGATCTCACCTACTAACTTGCTCACCTGTTCTCTCAATTTTCGCTATCACAACCAGAAATATGTACCTTTAATGTAACAATATAATACAGTTGATATATACGCAACCATACATAGTTAAATATATTGTTAATGGTTATTGTTCCTTAACAAATATTATTGTTTTTTTCAACTAGATTATATTGCTTGTCCTACCAAAGCTGCATGCTTCTCATAAATATAAATATTTTTAAAACAACAAAAATATTGTTGCTATTGCAATTTAGTATTGATATAATTACCTTTTTACTAATTTCCATTAACCGTATTATATATTATCTGCAATCACATCATTTGTTGGAACAATAATAATGTATACTCAGTTTTTTAATGCCAATTATTGCTCTTCTAACAATGTGTTTTGTTAGAATAACTAATGCTTTTCAATTAGGTACCTAAGTTATAATGAACGATTCCCATATCAACGAATGTTAATCAATCAATCAATCTATTGTTTTAAGAAGCATACTAACTGCTGGCCCATGATGACATAACAGTTATTGACATATTTAGTGAATCTTGCTAACTTGCATTTATTGTTTATAAAAAGCGGTGTAGCCATGCACAATTGTTCTTTTGTTTTCATGCTTTGCAGCAGCAAGTAGTTTCACCAGTATTCATATGTTCCTTTACTTTTACTTCAGTTAATTATAATAAAGTTTTTAAAAAAGTAAAGTTTCTGATTTGAAACTTAATTGGCGCAGTCGTGCGGATATTTTTCAGAATTTCGAGATCGTGACCCGCGAATTACTCAGGACAATCGCACTGAATCTATAAGTGATAACTTGGATTACAGTGATCATTGGAGTGAAAGTTGAGGAAAATTCCTGTCCACTTCACTTGGTGTTAACTGGACATAAGAGACATCGAGAACCAACGTATAAACAGTGAGAGTGTTACTGTTATTAGCATCGAGCCTAGTAAGTAAACCTTTCCCTAATATTTTGTTATTGGTGTTTCATATTTAAGAGTTATTTTTGGATTTTTCTTGAATTCTTTTGCAAAGGTTTAAACCTACTTTTCAAGAAAATCAATTGAAAAAAATCAATTTTTAGTTTTGGATAAAACATTCTTTAATCTTATTATTTTAATTTTTAATTCTAAAGTAAAGCTTGTTTAATTAAAGTTTTATTTTATGTCTGAATCTGAATTAGATACTGAAAAATATCTAAGTCAATTATATCAATTAAAACCTAATATTCAATCAACAAGACAAAAAAGAAACATGGGTGAAAATTTGAAGTCAATAGTTCAACTTTTGAAGCCTTTTGGTGGTGAAACTCAATATCTAGAGTATTTCATTAGTAATATTGATGAATTTTATCACACTTATTATGTAGGGGATCCTGCCCAAAGAGAATATGTAATAACTGCGAAAAAATCAAAGCTCATCAATGATGCCGGAAATTTTTTGATGATACGTCCAGATTAAAAATCAGGAATAAATATTAAAGGAGCTCTAAGAATTAAATATGGAGATCCTTATTCTCATCAAAATTTGATTCAAGAATTAATGTATGCATCAAGAAACCGAAAGGAATCAATTTATGAATATTTAGAAAAACTGAAAGCTCTTAATCACAGAATTACTTCAAACATAATGTGTGACAGCAATTTGTTAGCAGTTGCAAATATTCTTGTAGCTCAAAATGAAGTTACAGTAGTGGTACAGAATTTGATAACAAATTCACCAGTTGAGCTTAGAACAATTTTAATGGTTCAGAATCCTATAACATTAGACGCAGCAACATCTTTTGTATTTATTAAACTATCAGATGGCTGAGAATCATATGAAATTTAATAAATCTCAAAATAATTCCTTTTCGAATTTTAAAACAAAAAATAATCAAACATTTCAACACCAATAAAACAATACACAACAGCAACAAAGACAACAAAACCCGTATTTCCATGTGAAGCCACAATTTCCTTCACAACCACTAAACTTACAGCCAAAAACAATAACTCATAAATTCCCTACAAGTTCAGGTACGTTTGGTAGAAATTACAACAAATCAAACGTTTTTAAACCAAACAATAACCTTTCCTTGA